ACACTTGATCTTGATTTTACGTCAAATAATTGGACACTTTGATAGAACACTTATCTTCTATCTGGTCGACCTCTTTCATCATCCGGTCGACCAATTTGTTAATGACTGCAATCAAGTGGTCGACCTATATACCTTAGGTGGTCGACCATGTTGTTTCTGACGCCAACGAAATGGCCGACCCAGGTTTTATTTTGGTCGACCAAAAATAACAACTTAAACTAAGTGCGGTCGACCAGGTGGTCGTTGAGGTCGACCGCAATGCTTTCTCGTGCTGCCCAAATTAGTCGATTCGGTCGACCGCCTTCAGCAATAGGTCGACCGAAAAGTGCATGTCACCGTGACATGCATGTCATAGTAGGCATACCCTAAAAATTATTGACCTCTGGTTCGTTTTATTATTTTCACGGAGGAATGACGAGGGCTAATTGTAATTATAAATTATTTCATGGTATTTTAATAAATTTAATATTATTTATTAGTCAATAATTAATTATAAACTCATCAAATTGTTGTAACCGTATTCAATTGTTAATATTAAACAAGAAAGTGAGTGCATTCAGTGCACTAAAAAAGTGAGTACAACGAAGACGCCACTATATATAAATAGTTTAGAATGATTGTATATATGATAATATAAATATATGTTTCTCAAAAATTATATATTAATAGTCGTTTACCACATTTTATAACCATCTATCACGAGTTACCGCACTATACCAGGGTGGTATAAGGTGGTATATTTGGTCTTGATAATTTATTACCAATAAATTTGTAAATCACAATAAACTCGTTCCTACTATACAAGATTTGAGTTAAAAACAAAAATCATACGAAGTGGCACCATGTGGTACTCATGTGCTAACTGGTGGTATGAAATTCTTCTTTTCAATGTATATTGAAAATATATATAGTTTTGTATATCACAACAAAATCATTCTATCTGTGGAAGAAGAAAATCGAAATCAACTAATACAAAAAGACACAAACTGATTAAAAAAAATAAATAAATAAAAGATATTATAACCTCGCTAGTAGTGATCGCAATTTGTAGTCGGGCCACGAGTATTACTCGATCCACAATAACATGGAGCGATGCATGGGTATCTACTTCCTACCCGTCTGCCCCACCCAATTCTTACCCATTCTATCTCAATTTCTTACAATATCTATACATATTTCAACGATTTTGACTTTTCTTCAACTAGTTAGATTCGATATTTCAACTTGTTAGACTCATTTACTCATTCTATATTTCTATTATCACTGTTTTTCATTTATAAAGTATTTTTCCTTTCATTTTATCATAAAAGGTAAAATTTGCATGTATTTTTTTCATGTAACATGTAAAAGTAGGTCGACCACCTGCCCCATCTGCGGAGGCTGGCCGGAAACCACCATGCACGTGATTCGGGACTGCTCTTTTGCCAGGGCTTATTGGGCAGAAGTCTTCTTCGACGAACCGAACGATATCTTTTCCCAGCAAGACGGCCACCGGTGGATGCTTCACTACCTGAAGGACAAGAGCTCGATAGTCGGCGCTACGAGTTTTGCCATTGGCTGCTGGTCGCTATGGCGCAATAGTAACACCAAGGTCTTTGAGGCAAAGGTGAGCTCCCCTCAACAACTGAAGGTCTCCAATACCCGTTTCATTGCCCAAGTGGAGGCAGTTATCAGCAAAGAGTCGAAGCTTTTCGACAGTGGGAGAGGTAGCAGTCAACACAGGATCAGCTGGCAGTCGCCGCCGCGAGGATGGGCGAGTGTCAATACCGACGGCTTTGTGATCTCGACACCGGAAAGCACAGCAGCAGGTGGGGTCATTCGAGATGAGGGGCGGCTACTTCGTGCGTTCACGATGAATCTTGGGGGTGGATCCATCACCAAGGCCGAGATTGCAGGTATCACCCATGGTCTTCAAATTGCTTGGGGCCTGGGTTTGAAGAAGGTCCAAGTTCAGACGGACTCGAAGATCGCCTTGCAACTACTACAAGAGGCGAATTCTAGTAATCCCCATCACTGTTTGATTACGGCCGCGCGGCGCCTCCTTGCTCGTGACTGGCAGGTGGAGATAATCCATTTGTATAGAGAGGGCAATGTTGTTGCCGACTTTCTTGCCTCTTTGGGTCATAGTCAGGGTATTGGCTTGTATGTTTTGGACCGCCCAAACTCTTCTCTGAACTACTGCTATTTTTTGACTTGTTGGGGTTCAAACACCCCGTATGATCAATAATAACGGCTAGGAGGGCCCGTTAGCGCTCCGGTTTTCACTAAAAAAAAAAGTAGGTCGACCCACCCCCACCATGTATCCATACAGGTTTACCCGCTCCGACTGACAATAACGTGGGACGGGTATATATAGATATTGAGATACATGTCCTCCCGCCTCATTGTCATCGCTACTCGCTAGCTCCTTGAATCTGACTCTTGTTAACATAATCTATCAAATTTGATTATGTATAAGTTCATAAAGGGGACCCAAACAAACACTCCAACATGTTTCTTTTGTTTTGAACAAATGTACGTACATTGATACCTTTTTCTCTCGATTCCTTAAAACACCAGCTACCCGCCATAACACTACCTTTCTTGTCTCTGATCTTCCACCAAATCGGCAAATCGTATACTACTGTGTTAACTTATCCAACCACCTCTTCTTGCCAATACGCTTTTGCCAACCATGGGGAAAATAAAATAGTAATATAACATCACTAATTTACTCGTACCAACGTACGTATCCCTCACTTCACTTCATTCATAACTTCCGCCAGTCGATCGCCGTCCATCCTTCTGACATCTTGCTGTACGTAGCAATAAAAGCAGAAAGCTAAGTCTCTGTAATATTGACTGACTCACACACACATGAACTGGCCGCCGGCCAACCAACCAACCAGCTGTGCCGGCCAACTCGGCGACACGTGTCGAGCTCGCACTGGACCAGTCCTGTCCTAAAACGGGTGGGAGGCTAACGGTTAGGGAGATGGAGTGTCCTAATCTAGAGGACCAGCCCAGCTGATCATAATTGGCTGCCTCTTCCCTCAATCACATGATAATAATAATATTATTAATATTGTTATTGGAGTTAATTATGCAGCCCATTATGTTCCACATGTGTCCCAACTCCCCATATTTATTCTTCCAGCTGAGTGTCTCTTTCCCTCTTTCTGTAAACGCCACAACCAACCGCTTAGACGGTTGCGCCGGTGTGTATTTATGAGACGGCTGCATTTCGGTCGCTGTTGCCAAATCGGAAGTGAAGGGTCCAAATTTTGGGCAGTGGTGGAAAATGGGTTACCCAGGAAAGAGATATGCGAACCTTTTTCTGTCCTCATCCATTGCGCAAATTGGAGCTGACATTTTCCCCTTCCAAAACGATCTTCTTACTTGCCATATGTTTCACATTCCTAGTTACCATTCCTAGCTATCTAACATCAATGTATAGTAGTTAAAGAATACAGCTAATGATGGAGTGAGGCTCATGAAATAATTCTATAATCGGTGGGTACTTCTTACTAATTACCATTTTTTTTCTTCTTGATTATATACTTAATTTGAGTCGGAGGAAGATTGTCATTAACCAGCTGGTTCGAATAACTCGGGGTTTTCTTTGTTCAACGGTAGATCTTATACCGTTAGAAGTACTCCACACAAACGAAAAACTAACGTGTATATGGGCAAGCTTACCAAATGGGGGTCGACGGGATTCAAATACAAGAGTTCTAGTTTGGTCAGCGAAAGCTCCGATACCATGTCAAAACCAATTGATCATAATAAGCAAGTTATTGCAATATTGGTTCGCGGTTGTGGATCTTATACCATATACTAACAAAGTTATGTACTGTGCATAGAATATGTAGGTAATATCTGATTAGAGATGATCATCAGTACTGGGTGAAGTACTGGATCGACGTTTACAATTTTTCCCTCACAAAGTCTATATAGTATTCACAACAATTACACCGATAATAGTTGTGCGCCTTAGCGCTAATTGTTACAAACAAATTTGTATTTGTACGCATCTCCTCCACGACTTTTGATATATTTACTTATGCTATTTTGCATACCTTGAGTATGAAACCGCTATTTAGAACTTGAATTAGCTGGTCTTTCGGACATGATACTATACTCTAATTCTTAAAGATCAAAATCTAGGTATTAATTCTTTAAATCTTATACCCTAAGATCAATTTAATTATAAAGAATAATCGACGGTTACGGTTCGTTCAAATATAGGCAAAAAAATGAATGCACTATCTTAGGGTTTATAGTTTATAATTTAGATAATTGCATACCTTGAGTATGAAACTGCTATTTAGAACTTGAATTAGCTGGTCTTTCGGACATGATACTATACTCTAATTCTTAAAGATCAAAATCTAGGTATTAATTCTTTAAATCTTATACCCTAAGATCAATTTAATTATAAAGAATAATCGACGGTTACGGTTCGTTCAAATATAGGCAAAAAAATGAATGCACTATCTTAGGGTTTATAGTTTATAATTTAGATAATTAGGACATAGGGTTCACTCATTAAGGGTTAAAGTATAGTATCAGGCTTAAAATCATGCTAATTCGAGGTCTATATAGTGTTTTCATATTCAAAGTATGCGACACCCCGAATTATACTCACGTACTGCAGAAGCCACCCATCTATACTTAGTATATATATAACTCTTGTTTATCAATCTATTGGCATCATGACTTGATAGATTTGATTGATGTTGAAGTTTTCCACGAAATTTTGTGTTCCAAAAGTAGCCCAAGTAATTGTCTCACATGGCTCACCTAATTTGCAGGTTGACCACACGATTAAGGCCTCTTAAACCCTGTTTCATTGCCATATAACTACTTGATAATTATGATCATTACTGCTGCATCCATACTCTATAAACTTTTTATGGATACTTAAACAAGCATCTGACCAACTGAAAGCACAAACTAAAGTACCCACTTAAAAGGAAGTAGAGAATCATAAAAGCCCATCGATCTATCAATTCACCCACCATTCAATAGTGCTTTTATTAATTAACTACATATTCGATGGAGATCCAAACGCAACAAACAATATTATATCTTTGATTCAATTCCTTAGTTGTGGCACATCATCTAGGTAATACACTAACAGTACATTTTTATCAAAGGAGTACACGTAACGTAATAGCAATACTTTACTTTACTTATTAATATGATAACAATAATAAATACAGTTTAATTTATAATTTGCCTTGCTTAATAATAACAATTAAATCACAGCTTGACGACCTCAGGAATATGAACAGGATACCTATCAATGCAATCGGCCCAGGGACAGTCGGTCGGCGACTTGATCGTCCGGTTACACTTCCACACGGCGCTGTTACACTTGAACCCGCTCCCAAATGCGATCTGCCACACCCGATCCCCTCTCCTCATCCTCCCCTTCGCCTCGATGTAACTCAGCTCGTACCACAGCGAAGACGACGACGTATTGCCGAACCTGTGCAGCGTCATCCTCGACGCCTCCACGTGTTCGGCCGACAGCTGGAGGTTCTTCTGCAGCTCGTCGATCACCGCCCGGCCGCCGGCGTGGATGCAGAAGTGCTCGAACGCCTGCTTGAAGTCCGGGATGTACGGCTTCCACTTGGGGTTGAATATCTTCCTCCCGATCAGCGTCATCAGGAACAGGAGCTGCTCCGACGCCGGCAGGACGAGCGGCCCGATCGTCGTGATGTTCGACTTCAGCGCCTCGCCGGCGATCGCCATCAGGTCCTTGGATAAATTGATCCCTACTTTCCCTTCCCTGTCCTCCTCCTCGTACACGCACCGGTACGCCTTGTCGTCTCCTCCCTTGTGGGTCCGCACCACGTGGACCAACCTGTACTTGGCACGTGACCTGTGTGACAGAAAACAACACCACAAGTATTGCTACTGTTTGTTACTATGATCTAAATGTGTAAAAAGACCTGACAAGTTTACCAGATTTCTTAAACAAACTTGCGCTATTTATATATTAATTAATTATTCATACTTTTATTTATTATCAAACCCTGTAGGAGCTCCCGCATTCCACTAGACCTCTTAAGCAAACTTGCGCTATTTATATACTACTTAAAGATGAACCTGTGTGATCGGCGGTTGGAGAGGAGGATTGCGGCGCCGCCCATGCGGAAGAGGCAGTTGGGGAGGAGCATGGCACGCTCCTTGCCCTGGTAGTAGTTCGGGGTGATGATCTCGGTGCTGACGACGACGGCGTTGGAGTTGGGGTGGACCTGCAGCAGGTCGCGCGCCAGGTCGATCGATATCATCCCTGCGCTGCACCCCATCCCGGAGAGATTGAAGCTCTTGACGTTGCTCCTGAGCTTGTACTTGTTGACGACCATGGCCGAGAGCGAAGGCGTGGGGGAGAAGAGGCTGCAGTTGACGATGAGGATGTCGATGTCCCTGGGCTTGAGGCCCGTACGCTCGAAGAGGCTGTCGACGGCGGAGAAGATGACGAGCTCGGCCTCACCGCGGGCCGATTCCATGGTGGGCTTTGGTGGGATGTAGTGGATGGCGGGGGGAAGGCAGGTTTCTTCCCCGAGCCCGGAGCGCTCGAGGATCCGCATCTGGAACTCGACGGATTTCGGGTTGTCTTTCAAGATGAGGCGGGAGTGCTCCATGAAGGTGGAGAAGGGGACGCGGCAGGTGACTGGAGGCTTGTAGCAGGCGTAGTCGACGAGGTAGACGGTGCGGGGCTTGGACATGAAGTAGACGGTGGCGACGGAGGTGATGATGAAGGAGGAGGAGAGGACGACGGCGAGGTCGAGGCGGCGGTGGAGGGAGGTGTAGTAGAGGTTGAGGAGCTCCTGCGGGCCGGTGCGGAGGATCTCGACGGTGAAGGCGAGGATGAGTGGGATGAGGAGGAGGTAGAAGAAGTGGTTGACTAGGGTTTGGTAGCCGAGCTTGACGTATTTCAATCTCACCGTGCTGGAGAAGTCCGGCAGGATGGGAGGCATGGTTGCGGTGGGTGTGGCGGTTGACGGTTGCCGGCGGCGGTGAGGTGAGGGTGGGGGAAATGGGGTGTGGGTTTGTGGAGATGGGGTAAAGGACAATGGTGGGAGAAGGTGGAGTTATAAAGAGGGAGAGAGAGTTGTGTGTGTAGCAATGAAGGTGGCAGATGGGAGGAGTTAATGTAGGGGATTCACGTCACTCCAACGCTCACTTAACATTGCTATTTAATATTTTCCTCTCCCATGATCGATCCATCTTTTGCTTTCTTTTCTTTGCTTTTCCCAATTGCTGTTATTTCTTAGTAATGGTTGTTCCTTTGTGGGTTTGATTGGGGAATGGGGAGGGCTCCAAAACCATACCGGAAAAAAAAAACTAATTTATTAGTCGTCGGTTTGACGATATAAAATGGTGGAATCAGGATTAAATCACGATTTTGAGTGTAAAAGATTCTGCTGCTGACATTTTCATTACAACTTCTGATACGATTTTACGAGCTACAGACCAAAGGGGGGAGTAGAGGATAATTAATACGGCGTGTTGGGAACTTTGGTGTATCCGTCCACGGGCAATAGTGCTCTCCTTGCTCCATTAAATTTTGGACCTGTGGGGATGGTTATTCGCTGTGCTTGTGTTATCCCATCCATGCACGTAGTTGGTATTTTTATATTATATACATAAATATATCTTCTGTTTTTTTTTTTTAATTGAATGACCTGTCGTCAAAAGTAAAGGCATCTGCCTCAAGTACAAGAAAATGTATGTAGTTTTGATTTCCACCGTAGAAAGGGAAAGAATGACCAGTGGAGGTGGTCAGGATTCATAGGACGACTGTTCAGGTTTGTTTGAGACTGTTCACTAACCCTTCCTTACTGTGATGTGTGGTTTAGGGTTCTTCTTCTTGAACCAGCAGTGAGCAGACAAAGGTTTTTTTGTTAGGCTAATCACCAACAATTTGATATTACTAGTTAGGTAAAAGTCATGCTATAGAAATTGTATTAGATTTTGCATTTTTTGATGGATTATGTGGAAGTAAATGAATGATGGGCATCCCTTCCAAAACGACTTTGAGAATATATCGTTGCACAAATTTGTCATCGAATTGTTACTTTGTGCAAGCAAAATTTAGGTAGTGCGGTTTAAATAAAAGTTGACGTCAAAAAAGTCCTTCTAGATAGAATGAAACAACAACTCTATGTTCATTTATTGGATTAGGCCGCCCTAGAGAGCTGATTAATGTTAACATTGATGGCTCTATGACTATCTTTGTTAGAAACACATTATTTGCAGCTTTTGGCTAATTCGAATTATTGTCGGTTTTTGTTAATTGGGGATTATTTGGGGTATTCGGGCATTAAACGAGGAGTCAATTGTTACGTTTTATTAGTTGGGTAGGAGGTCGGAATTATGCGGATTATATAATCTGCAGTAGGGTGTTATTTTTTCATTAAGCAATAAAAATAACAAAACCTAAATCCTACCCTCTCTCTCCCTTCTCCTCCTTCGTCTTTTCCCTCCCATCTTCCTCCTCCAAAGCTGCCGCAGCAGCCCCCTTCCCCCCCCCCCCCCCCCCCTTCTTTGTTCTCAAATTCTCAATTTCCAATCCCTAGCTCGGTCAATCCCTAATTGATCTAGCTAATTTCCCTAGTCCCAAACCTGTTAGAAACTTTGTTTCTAACATCTGGTATCAGAGCTTGGTTCAAGAGTGTGCGTTCTTTTGAGCTCTTGAACCAGGGAAGGCAACGATGGTATCGACAAAGTCCATGAAGGCGGCAGAGAAGGCGGCTCAGGCAGCTGAGAAGAGCTCCGAGGCGGGCGACATAGGGCTCGACGGGGTGGTGGAGGATATTACAGAGATCGAAGAGCTGAGGAAGGTCGTGGAGACGCAAGTAGAGAGGCAGGAGAGGGTCGAGGAAGAGTTGAATGGGCTGCAGGTGAAAGCCAGAGATCACGGCCGCACTCTTGACGCGCTGCTGGCGGCGGTGGAGGCATTGTAAGGGCAGGTGAGCAGCCTGACAGAGGTTTGGAAGAGAAGCGGGGTAGGAGCTGGCGACTGCGGGAAGCCTCCAAAGGAAGGAGGCAAGACGGAGGAGGGATCCGCCTCGGTGGCGGGGATCGGCGGCCAGGGCACCGAGCGGGTCTCGGCGGGAGGGGCGGCGGACGGGTCAGGCGAGAGAGGGGCTACGGCAGCGACCAACCCTAGCCGGCCACCCACTTCGCGTACGGGCCACCTCTCCTTCGGCCCAATGAGCAAGGACGGGCTGTTACCTACCCCAACGGCCCAGGAGGTGGTGCGCGCGTGCGGTAAGGCCAAGATGGCCGAGTATGTGGACCCGGACCTGCAAGCGGGCCTAAACGTGGAGGAGCTTGTGGATCTGGAGCAGGAGTTGGATCACGGGCCATGGCCCAACGAGCAGTATGGGTCGGGGGCGGATTACAGAAGGGATGAAGGCAGCCTGGTGGGCCGAACCAGGTTGGAAGGTGGGCCGGGAGGAAGTTGGAGGGAGTCGGGGCGGCCGGGAGCAGTGGGCCGAACCCAACCGGGTCGGGTCGATGTGGGCCGAGCAGGGACGAGTCGGGCCCCCAGTGGTCGGGACAAAATCCGTCGGGCCAAAACCGGTCGGACCAAATCTGGTCGAACCGGTCCAACCGACGGGATACCCAACCCAGGCGGGCAGCAAGGGCTACCCAGTTCCTCAAGGCCAGTTCGATGAGTACTACGGGTTCCACCCCCCTTCTGCGAATCAACGGAGCACCGGGAAGGAACCTATGAGGACGTGGACGGGTGATCGGAGGCAGAGGAATGAGTTAAGCCGGAGAGCGGGGTACCGGGATGATGAAGGGGACGACTGGGGGTGCGAAGGGGACCCACAATTCTCACAACATTATCACAATGGGGCCCCAAGCTATGGAAGAAATGCCAGTTATCCCCGAGGTGGTGAGGAAGAGGATGACATGGTGTTTAGAGCTAAACCTCCCACCATTGAGTTTCCAAAATTCAATGGTCGTGAGGATGCAGGACTGTGGTTATACTCAGCTGAACTGTGGTTCAAGAACCACATGACTAGGGAAGAACGGAAGGCTCCGATAGCCTCCTTTTACTTGGAAGGAGATGCACTGTAGTGGTGGGAGTGGATGGAGCGGACATATGCGGAAGCACAGACACTAATTACTTGGACGATGTTTAAGGAGGAGCTGCGGTATCAGTTCGGGAAATCGGAAGGATGGGATCCGGAGCAGTTGGCCAAACTGAGCCAGACAGGGACGGTAGCGGAGTACAGGGCTGAGTTCTTCAATCTGGGTAACCAATGTAAGGGCGTCCCCGAAGAGACATTGGTGCACCTATGCATGGCGGGACTCCGCCCGGAGATTGCGGCCGCGCGGTTCGGGTATTTGAACCGGATTCACTGCGAGCTGTGTTTCGTCTTGCAGATAACAAGGAGGAGGAACTGGCTAGCTGGCGGGGAGTGATAGGCCGGTATCAGACTTCGAGTGGAGGAGGAAGCAGCAGCGGGCCGAGTAGCGGGCCAGGGGCCCCGACACCGGGTCCGAGCACGGGAGGAGGTGTGATGACTGGCCCACCTACGGCGGCCATTCGAGCAGGGACGAGGGCCCCTCCCAAAGGGTTTACTAGGTTGTCTCCTGCAGAGATCGAGCAGAAGAGGCGGGAGGGAAAGTGCTTTAACTGCGACGAGAGGTTCACCTTTGGTCACAAATGCGGGAAGCCTGATTTGATGTTCTTGGTGGGGCGCTGGGAAGACGAGGCAGAGGATGAAGCCGCCGAGGACCCAGGACCGGTGCCAGAGTAGCTTCAACCTTGAGGACAAGGTTGCTTCCCAAGGAGGCGGGGATGCTAGAAACACATTATTTGCAGCTTTTGGCTAACTCAAATTATTGCCGGTTTTTGTTAATTGGGGGATTATTTGTGGTATTCGGGCATTAAACGGTGAGTCAATTGTTACGTTTTATTAGTTGGGTAGGAGGTCAGAATTATGAGGATTATATAATCTGCAGTAGGGTATTATTTTTTCATTAAGCAATAAAAATAACAAAACCTAAATCCTACCCTCTCTCTCCCTTCTCCTCCTGCGTCTTTTCCCTCCCCTCTTCCTCCTCCAAAGCTGCCGCAGCAGCAGCCCCTTTCCCCCCCTCTTTGTTCTCAAATTCCCAATTTTCAATCCCTAGCTCGGTCAATCCCTAATTGATCTAGCTAATTTCCCTAATCCCAAACTTGTTAGAAACTTTGTTTCTAACAATCTTGTTAGACAGTGTTCTCTTTTCAGTCTTGTATGTATGTAGTGTGTTGGGCAAATTGTGCCATTTACGTTCAGCCCAATTTTCATGTCTTGGAATATGGGCCCCATGCATCGCAGGGCACGTAGTAGTGAACCCTAATTCTAGCTGAGTAGTAGTATAGAAGGGAGGAGAAGCGGTTGTATTCTGTAACACACTTTCTTCCACGATCACAAGTAACATCAGTAGCCGAGGAGTGCTTGAGCTCCTCCAAGGATTAGTCCTGGGAAACCGGGGATACCACGTAAATTCGTGTGTCTCGTTTACTGTTTTTCGTATCCGTTTCTATATCGTCAATATGGTATCAGAGCTTTCCATGGCCGAATCTGAGCGTTTTTCCGTCAAACTCACCTCAAAGAATTTTGCGTTGTGGGAATTTCAGCTCAGAGTGTTCGTTGAGGGGAAGGGTTTGCTTGGAATACTCTATGGGCAGACCCCTAGACCAACGTCACCACCGGCATCTGCATTAGAGGTAGCCACCTAGAAGCAAAATGATGCATGCGTGCGATCATTGCTGCTTGGATCGGTCGACTCCTCCACCTGTCTCAGTCTCCGTCTCTTTCCCACAACCAATCGGATGTGGCGCCACTTGACTTCGACGTATTCCACCACAAATGCGGCTCGCCAATTTGAGGTACATCCCGCATACAACCTCCACGTCCAGCCCACATACAACTTCTTCTCATGCAGCAACATCTGAATCTCCTGCCTCCCCTAAACCAACGACATCCTTTACTTCTACACAGGTCTCGTCCCTTGCTCCTCCACCTACTTCTTCTCAGCTCCGACGTTCTCTTCGATCCAACAAGGGAGTTCCACCGTCCCATTTCCACAACTTTGTTTCCCATAGTGTTACTCCTTTATTTGTGCCAACCCGCTTCAAGCAGGCAAGTGG